GGAATAGAAGCAAATACTGTTGAATGATGATGCATGGAGGAGATTGTAATCATTGCAATGAACCGATGTTCTCCCAGGTAAATTATCACCCAATTCACAATTTTTAAAAAAGGACAAACAAAAACAGAGCTTTAACAACAGATAAAGTGGGAGATGGCACCAAAAAAAAAAAAAAAAAAAAAGCCCCAAAGAAATGTTGCAGCAGATGCAGCAAAACCAGGAGACTAGTGGGAGATAGTCTGGTGGCAAGGATGCTGAATGCCTTTCTGCAGGAGAAGTGGAGTGTCTCTGGGAACTTAATTGGGAATCAAAGGATTTTTTGGCTCAGAGATTAAGAAAGTTGAGTGTCTTTGACCTCTAGTCACTTAATTGGCAGAACTAAGAGCTTTGTAATAATTATCCAAGCAGTGGGTGGGGGTGAGGCACAGCAAGGGGCAAGGGCCAGAAAGAGGTGTGCCTATTTGTATAGTTGACAGAAAGCTGTTCCATTCAAAAAACTGTATCCTGAGCATTCTTGAACCTGAATTATAGCCTGTTACTTGTCTAATAAATGTCATAATTATGAACATTGTATGTGAATTATGTGTAGCCATTGCAAGGAATTATAGGTCTTAGCAAAGAATTGTCCAAATTGATGAAAAGCTTGGTGGATGGATGCAGGTCTGACCTCTGTCTCATAGCAAATCGCTTTGAGCAGCTGATGCTGATGGAAATTCTTCAAAGTTAGGAGAGGTCAGACATCACCCCAATATCTTTTGTTTTATTGGGTTTTTTTTACTTGTTTGTTTGTGTTTAATGTTCTATTGTGAATTATGTGACAGTTTACATGGGAGAACATTAGCTTTACATTCATCCTATCATATCGTTTCTTTGCCATGGTTACAATACCCTCCATACATCATCAACCAACCAAAGGGTATACCCCGCAAGCCTGCCCCCCAGACGTCAGCACACATCCCCTCTCCCTCTCTGGGTCTAAAGTCCCCAGTTGCTCCATCTCTCCACGTCATCATCTCTGGCTCCATCTCTGGCATCACTGCTTCTCTGGGTAGGGTCCCACTCTCCACTCTTCTAGCTTGATGATCCCAGGGAACTCCGCTCCTAGACTGCAAAGTTAATCACTCCCCTCCTTGCTACAAAATGTCTACCTTTACATTTCCAACCCTCACAA